GCAAGCGGGAAGCGATAAAGTCCACTTGTTGCTCCTCGTCTGGGAACAACTGAGCCCACCATTCCACAAACTTCATCACCCGCACAATAAAGGAAGAGAGGTTTTCTGGATCGCTATCAAAGGTAGCATCCGGTAAATCCTTGGGTCGCGGCATGGCTGGCGGAGTCACCGGGACAGTGGGTAGCAGAACTGGGGGGGGGGAGGCGGTGGTGGTGCTGGCAGCGGCGGTGGAATCGGGGGAGAGGCAGTGGAGGAGGAGGTGGCGGTGGCGGCCGAGGGATCGGCGGGCCAAGGGGAGGGATTACCGGGGGCCCCCATTGAGCGGCCAGTTGGGTCTGCACAGCCTGGGCCACCATCCTCAATAAGGTCTGGAGCAGTTGCCCCATGTCCCGCATTATTGTGCGGCAGTCCAGTTCCAGGCCATCCAGCTACGTCCCTTCCCGGGCTTAACGAAGACCTCGATGGGAATGTTATGGGTCTGCTCGGGGTCACCCCAAAGCTCCCCGAGATCAGCCGGGGGTCATACACACTGTCCCAACTCTGACTCCCCGGCAACAACCAAGCACTCTGCGTGGAGTCCCCCACATGGCGGCCCCAATCCCAATCCTTGCGGCGGTAGGTTACTCCCTTCCCCAAATGCACTGGGAGAAACGACACCGCTGGCCGAGGGGTGGCTCCTCCATCAGTAGACACCGGCCCTCCACGGCTCGCAGTCATCAGCGGGGCCGTCGTCACTGGCACTCTCGTACCCGTAGTCATCGGGGGGAGGACGGGTGCTGTTGTTGTGGGTACCATCGTGGGCACTGTTGTCGGCACCGTAGTGGGTACCATGGTAGGCACCCCAGTACCACTGGAACAGCTCATCCCGGTTAGGAGAGACTCGGGCCGATGAATGAAAAGGGATTCCTGACAATTCTGTCAGGGTCAACAGCAAGCAGGTTCAAACACACTCTCCTGAAAAGGCTATGTTTTATTGGAATAGTGGTCTGTTGCCAAGTGGTACAGGTACATTGTCAAGAATAACGATTAGTGCAAGGAGCTCCATACATATACTCTGATGCTGCATCTAGCTAAGCAAATGAAATCAAGCGCGCACGGGGGAATTCTCCCGGTGGGATATTGCATCATGAACGGGAGACTCACCCCAATCTCTTGAGAGCAGAAATATTCACACCCGTAGTGGTATCCAAGCCCTCCCTTCCCTTCAAGGTTATACTGATCATGCTGTCTGGCTGAACCAGTTTGCATGGGGGAAAGAGCGCCTCCCTTATGTTACCCACGGTAGCTAAGCAAAGCAAGCATGTGCAGCTGTGCAAAAGTCAGGGATGAAAGAAAACAAAGAAAGCATGGCAGCTAGCTGACAATTGAGTGTGATGCCTAAACACAATAAAAATACACATGCTGAAATTGGTTTATGGTCATTCATTGACTAAAGCATCACAGCAAAATCCAACTGTATGGAGGAAACAGCACCCACATCCAACCGCTGGTTTTGATATGCCTCTTGCTTCCTTTTATACAGGTCCCCCCGCAGCTGTGTTGGGGGAATGAAAAGTTCTTCCTGCTGCTACTTCTACTTGACTTATATTGCTATCTCTTTGAAAGATATCGTCACCATCTTTGTGGCAAGTTAGGAGGAGCTTTCTACTGCCCTCTATTTTGTTTTTAAACCAATATGACTTGAACAACCAGGGTAGCGCAATTTTATGCAAGAACAAACTGCCAGAATGATAAAACAGACCAGGAGGTTAGATCCTCCCAGCTAGTTTTGTAAGAATGCTAGAACTGCTTTTATTTTAAAATCAGACGACAGTCCAGCATTCTGTTTCCAATATGGGCCAAGCAGATACCTCTGCAAGCTTTGAAGCAGGGCGTGGGGAAAAATAACTGTTTTCCAGAGTCATACTGCCTCTGCATCTGAAGTTTCCATTTAACCACTGAGTCCTATGTACCCTGTGCACCACCTCACCAAGCACACCTCTTCCCACCATTGCTGAACCTGTATGGCCTTTACTTCCGTTGCATTTTTGTGCGCTTCCTAGCACAATGCTCACAGCTCAGCTGAGAGCAAGATGGCCAAGCCTACAATGCTTCGTCCCAGGGACAGAAAGAGACAGGGAGGGAAGCAAAGGGTGCTCCAGCTTCCCACAGCAGGAGCCTACTCTGAGCCAGCCAGCAGCATTGTGAGGCCTCTCTCTGTAAGCCCCTTGTGCCCTCTTTGCTTCCTCCTCTGTACAGTTCTTGCTGTCTCTCCAGCATGAGGCACAGCAACTCAGGTGAGGCTCCTGGAACAGAGCAATCTGGTTGTGGAAAAAGGGGAGTGAAACCACCAACAACAACCTACTGTGGCCAGATTTCTCTTTTCACAATTTTACTACACCCAGTACAAATTGTTCATTTTGCCCCATCCAAATAGATCCACAGCAATAGCAGTTTCTTTTATTGTAGATGTAAGGTTTGTTTTCTCAAACACAGCCTCTGTGCAGATCACCATTAACATTTTGGTGACATTTTTGTGAACTTTTGCAATAAAAGAATAAAGCTACAAAAGCATTTCAGAGAGCCAAGCAAGTGTTAAGTTTTAGAGTCAACAGGCACCTGATAAGTAGCAAGACTATGTAAGCCAAAAAGTTTTACTGTAGCCAGTCATGAAGTTGCAGTTATTTACCTTTTACCAGACATGTGATTATTTATTTGACTTATAGACTGCCCTCCCCTGTACAGGGCTCAGGGTGGTGAACAGCAATTCAATAAATACATATGTTAGTCAGCTATAACCAAGTTAAAACAGTTAAAAACAATAACAAATTGCAGACTAATCCAGATGGCGTTTAAATACCCTTTCCCCATGAGGGGGAGGGGGAGGAGGAGGAGGGGAGGAGGCCAGGCTCCATGACAAACCGTTGCCTCTCTCAACCATTGGCCTGGCGGAACATCTCTGTCTTACAGGGCCTGCGGAACTGCATTAAGTCCCACAGGGCACAGATGTCTTTAGGCAGAGAGCTCCCCTAGGTCGGTGCCAGGGCCGAAAAGGAAAGCTAGATATCTTTTGAGCCAGGGATGCTGTTTTTGCAGTAACAGGATGACATTCTCATAGTTCCTAGATTCCGATCCCAGGCTCTTCTACATGCTACCAAAATACAGTTGTTCAGGCTTGACCCTACAATCAATGTAATATATATAAAATAGTTTGAAAAACAGCCACAACAATATTTTTAAGCATTAGAATGATGTAAGTGTACTACTGAAAAAAATATTGCCAGCTGACAAAATAAACTGCCTTCAACCAAAGCACTTTTTTCATGGGAGTTGCCAGAGGTTAAACCTGGGATGCTGTGAGTGGAAAGCATATGTACTACTACTGAGCTGTGGGCCCTCCCAAAAATGCACTCAGCGCTATACCTTTGGCAGAGCTTGCATCAGGATATTATACTTGACTCATGGTATCTTTTTTCCAATGTTCCAATATAAGCTGTTCTCAGATCAATAAACAAGTGCTTCAACATAAGTCTGTGCTTATGGTTTCTTTGTAGCAGGCCCTAAAAGCCCAGTATCAGCTTGCAATGAAATGATCAACAAACATTAGGAAGGTACAGAAACAAAACAATGCCTGTCTTTGTACACATTAAGGTGTAAGGGGAAAAAAAAAGAATTAAAGCTTGTGGCACCTTGAAGGCTAACAGATGTACTGAAGCATAAGCACCCCTGTGTTAATAAATGTCTTTGTCATTTTGCTGCAAGAGACAAAAGCATGACCAACCAAATTTGAATTTATTTCTTGGTACAATATGATCCTAGGCATGTTGACATGGAAGTAATCCCCATCTAATTCAGTGGGGTTACTCCCAAGCGTGTTTCAGGTTCCCACCTACAGACAGTTTCTACCATCATCTAGAAAGATAAAACTGCACAGATATAAACTATTTGATTTTTTAAAAAAGAAGTAACTCCGCTTTCATTGGCATAGATCATACATTTATCCATTGCACTTTTATCCCATACTTCTTTCAAGCTCAGGCGGCAAACACAGTACTCTTCTCTCTCCCCCAGTTCTAGGCTCTCTAAATACATTACCACATTGGCAGAAATGCTACAGTAAGTCATTAGACAACATATCCTGTCCCAATTTTTTAAAAATACTAGTTTTCACTTGATACGCATTATACACCCCTCCTGCTCTGGTTCTGAACACCACAGCTGTCTCTATGAAATGAGGACTGCTCCCTCATGGCGGGAACATTCCTCCCAAACATACAAAAGTATTGATTTATGATCTAAATGCAAACATTTTCCTTTACTTTTGCTGTGTGTGGGTATAAAACCCTTATAGGAAGCACAGTCCCATGTGCACACAATACACAATGCACATAACATAAAGTATACACACAAAAAAGAAGGCAAAAAGCCTTATCAGAATCAAATATTAGTTTTACAAACTGTTTAATGTATCTTTTTTCCACTGGGAAGGGGGGGGGATCCTGCAGGTTTCGTGTCCAACTCCCCCGATATTTCTACCTTGCTCTCACCCCTAAACTGACCCAGGCAAAGGAAGCTAAACACCATGGCAATTTTTAAAAAATCAAGAGGCTGATTCCCCCCCCCCCAAAAAAAAAGGCTTGAAAAAATAATAACGGTAGTCAGAATCTCACAAGCTCCCTGATCCCAAAGTCTCACTTATTCAGCAAGGCCCTACACTTCTTGGGCCAAGGCAGGGGCCTACTTAAGCAGGCATAAGAGAGTGTGTGTGTCTGTTGGGGGGGGGGAGAGAGAAGAGGGTGAGAGGTGTCACCCTCAAACCCTTCCCCCTCCCAAACCTTGTCCCACTTCCCACCCCCGTCCCTTGTAACAGGCAGCCTCGTCCTGTCACTCCAGACAACCC